TTATTTGTGACTTTAGCCGTATATACCTTCCAGTAATTTCGAGACATGGAAGGTACTAGAGATTTCTCGGCGGTCGGGATAAAACTATATATAACACAGAAGAGAGCATACGCTCTTAGATTCTCAGTCAGTGCCAACTTCAGATAACCAGGCTATCTCAGTGTGAGATTCGCTGTTTAGGTGTTCTTTGCACTGCGTTGCATTTAACATTATTTGTAGTTTGAAGTGTAACTACTGGTTGTGCTCTGGGATATTGAGAAGAACTGCACGAGGAAAGTTTCAGAACTGTAAAGTGTTTCTTTTGGTAAAATTAATTTTATCAAGCTACCATCGGTTGTGTGTGCATTCAATCCATTACTAGACCTTACGCAAGCAACAATCTAATGATGATTATATAAATCGTTCGCAGTGCTAATTGGTTTCAACATACTAAGGAGAAAAAAGCTCTTGCCGAAGATCCAAGGACTGGAGGGCCTTCCACGTTAACAAACGATTAACATGTTCAGAGTGCACAATGAATTTATACCACACTGTTAGACAGTAGACAGAGAAGTCTACTAGATAATTCTAACACGATTGACATACCCTATAACTAGATGAAAGAGACCTGAAGTGCAGGGTGTTGTGGATATCATAATAATGCTCTAGCTTACGCATAGCTCTTTTTTACCAACTACCTGAGAAAAATTCACACTTCACTTCCGTTGTATATTACCCACCCTGATTTTTGGATTTAGTTCCAGTAGAGTTTTTTCTGTTTCAAAAACTTAAGTCCCTTTGAAAGGACGCCGTTTCCAGTCCATAGAGAAATTTTAGGAAAATGAGGTGAAAAAAATGCAAGCCATTGAAAAGCAAGAACTCCAAAAGTTAAAATAATGGCAGCAAGAATCTCAAAAGTGTAAACAAACAATGGGAATGGTGAATTGACACTAGAGGAAAGTACTTTGGAGGGAACAGAGTTTGATGGTTTGTTATGATTATCAATAAAGGACAGAAAATATGTGGCTATTTTTTTCACGGTCCTTGTAGTAATATTATAAAAACATTCCGAAATAATGATTCTGGGGTAACTTAAGCATATTATCCTACGAAAATATAAAGGACCTAAATTGTAGTTTTTATTTGCAAGTTATTTATAACTGCGTGATTCATAATTCCGTGATACATAACTGCGTTAGGGAATTTGTCCGGTATTTTTAACTGAGACTGTTTATAAATCTAGTTAGTCATTTTTGCTGCTAACTGTATCAGCTCCAATGCAAAGGAGGCCCTCAGCAGCCAAGCGGTAAAATTGTTCGAGATAAAAAAATGTTGAATTGAGTAGTTTTTGTTTTTACTCTGGAGAAGAAAATTTTAAAAAAATTTGAGAGATATCGTTTTAGGCAACAAATACAGGAACTGACTGGACCTATTGTCGGAACTGAATTATTAAAATCTTTGTGGCTTCAACGCCTTCCAGCCCAGATGCAAGCCATATTGGTCCCTTCTGGTATCGAACTTAGAAAATTAGCAGCTATGGCTGACAAAAGCTCTTACATCACAATGCTTGCTTAGCTTCATGACATAAAAGTCAACTCGAAAGTAACTAATTCTACTGATATAAGTGGTGCTTTTTATATTTTGTAGCAACAAATATCTGATTTATATAAAACAGTATATAAACTTTTTAGGTTTTATTCTCGTATTCGATTTCGCTCCCATGACCGTCCTAATTCTAGATCTAGATTCGTGCCCGCGAATAAAAAAATCGTAAAATCATCCATGTGTTTGTACCACGTCAAGTTTGATGATAAAGCCTTTAAATGCAACAACACTTGCAATTTTAAATCGGAAAACTAGAAAGCCAAGCGTGTGTGGCGACAAACGCTATAGGCCAAAATAATTGTCGACTCCTTGCATTATAAAACAAATTTTAAGAACTCATTTTTTGGTTGTCCGCAGGAGCTGATTTGTCTGTCTGGACTGCTAATTCACAAGGCTATTTTGAATCAATATCTTTGTTCAGTTTAGTTGCAGTAAACAGTACAAAAATTTATTTCCATGTGAAATGACTAGTAAATTTAGAAATAGGTCTAAACAGAATTTTCCATGGACTTTTACTACTGCTAATGTCTGACGCCCAATTTTGGGCACATACATTTTAAGTAATTAAGGTATTGTTGTAAATTTGAAATCCAGAAAATTAATTGACAGTATGATTAACGTTACGTCATTTGGGAAAATATGCCGAGTTATTGTACCCAAAATTCAAATTTTACAACCGTTAAATATATTAAATGCTTATTTAATGATTATGTCTTTATATGATTTTATCTTTGAAGATGTTTTAAAAGTGCTTCTGGATAAGAATACTCATGGTATTACACATGTAATCGAAACTGAAGAATCTTCAGTAGCTTCTGACATATTGGCTGTCGCCTAAGCAGAATTCACTTTGTCACAGACAGACAAATAAGATAGATGTCTTGTTTTGCACCCGCTAAGTCTTTCTACACCGATGGGCGAAAAATGAAGCATAGGTGCGAAGGAAAGGTATATAGAAAGAGGTCAATTTCGTATTTGAGGAGAGTAAAAAGGAACTTCGTACATTTTGTACGAGTTCAAAAGGCCAGAGAGAAAAAGATGGGACAAAATAAAATTTAAAATAAATGACCCAAAAATAATAGAGGGGAAAAAAAAGGGCCTATAGAAAGAAAAGGAAAAGAAGTAGAAAATACCCTAATATACGATGGTGTCCATGAGTGTAGTTAAGGAGTTCATCTGCGAAAATTCGTGTCTTTAAGAAGCAAACTTTAGCTAAGTTTAAAAAAAAATAAATAAATGAATGAATTTCTACATGGTAATGTGTATGCCCTTATCTTGAGACCTAACTAGAAAAGACATATATCATCAAAGGGATGTACATAATATTTTAACTAAAGTAACATTAAATATTACCGTTCCCAAAAAATTCATGTATATTTCATAAAAAAAGTAACTGACAAAATCATAAATCCATACACAGTGTGAGAGCATTCCAGCAAAAATAAATTATACAGTTTATTTTTCTTAAATATTAGTTAAATATAAAATTAATTTATTAATTTAACCGTTGTGATTTATTATAGTACAACTTTACCGAATTCCGTCACACTGTATTTTTATTTGCTCATAATTCTAAGTCTGAGACCTGAAAAAAAAAGTCGGAGATCTTAGTTACAAAAATTACAATCTATACTCATCGATGGTCAAGAGATACCCATTTTTCCCTCTCAAGAAATTCCTAAGCACGAAAAGGGAGGGTCCTCCGAAGGGTGTGAGTTGCTGATAAGAACGGACTACTGATAAGGAATGTGGCGTCTCGACGGAATAGTTACGAAGAAAAAAACCACATGACCTGCTACTATTAACAACTATTGTATAATGCTAGAATCTTATGAAAATAATAAATAAAGAAATTTAATGGCACTCTAGTGATAGAGAAACAGATATTGTATAGAGAACAGAATGTTACTTATCTGAATATTCCGTGTCAGCGCCTCTTTTGGATTTCTCATGTTTCTGCTAAGTCTTTCTGCATCGTATTTGAGGAGAGTAAAAAGGAACTTCGTACATTTTGTACGAGTTCAAAAGGCCAGAAAGAAAAGATGGGACAAAATAAAATTTAAAATAAATGGTCCGAAAATAATAGAGGGGGGGGAAAGGGCCTTTAGAAGGAAAAGGAAAAGAAGTAGAAAATACCCTAATATACGATTGTGTCCATGAGTGTAGTTAAGGAGTTCATCTGCAAAAATTCGTGTCTTTAAGAAGCAAACTTTAGCTAAGTTTAAAAAAAAATAAATAAATGAATGAATTCCTACATGGTAATGTGTATGCCCTTATCTTGAGACCTAACTAGAAAAGACATATATCATCACAGAGATGTACATAATATTTTAATTTAAGTAACATTAAATATTACCGTTCTCAAAAAATTCATGTATATTTCATAATAAAAGTAACTGACAAAATCATAAATCCATACACAGTGTGAGAGCATTTCAGCAAAAATAAATTATACAGTTTATTTTTCTTAAATATTAGTTAAATATAAAATTAATTTATTAATTTAACCGTTGTAATTTATTATAGTACAAGTTTAACAAATTCCGTCACACTGTATTTTTATTTGCTCATAATTCTAAGTCTGAGACCTGAAAAAAAAAGTCGGGGATCTTAGTTACAAAAATCACAATCTATACTCATCGATGGTCAAGAGATACCCATTTTTCTCTCTCAAGAAATTCCTAAGCACGAAAAGGGGGGGGGGCTCCGAAGGGTGTGAGTTGCTGATAAGAACGGACTACTGATAAGGAATGTGGCGTCTCGACGGAATAGTTACGAAGAAAAAAACCACATGACCTGCTACTATTAACAACTATTGTATAATGCTAGAATCTTATGAAAATAATAAATAAAGAAATTTAATGGCACTCTAGTGATAGAGAAACAGATATTGTATAGATAACAGAATGTTACTTATCTGAATATTCCGTGTCAGGGCCTATTTTGGATTTCTCGTGTTGATAGTGAACAGCTAACAAAACACCTGAAGTTTCGAAGAAGCGAAGTTTCCTTTTTCAATTTGATGAATGAGACATTGCATAGGAAAGGTGCATTAAACTTTTTTAGAGAGTTGAAAACATTTACAGAAACTTTTATTTAAAAAATTTCGGAGCTATGTTTAGACACTACTTTCGTGATCGCAGCGCCAGTCCCTCACTTTGTCAGACAGAACTACGCCGAGACTACCCGTCAACGGTTGTTATGAACAGGCTCTTAATATACGTATTAGTAATAATTAGACACAATGAGTCTACTATTAGAGGATCTGTTTATACTTTCAATATTTATAGAAAAAGAAATAAATTTTATCTACTTGGATTCTGGACATGCTTCTTGACGAATAAAAATTTTATTAAACACTTGATATCAGCAGCTTCACAGTTTCCTTGAAAACAATAATTCTGTATTTTGGGGCAGAAAGACTAGTAACTAAGAAAATACTAAATGGCCGTTCATTATTTATATTTTCTTGAGTTAATTTGATCTTTTAGGTGGCTTGTTATGTATAACATATAAAAATGAATTACATGCGAAAATTGGCATTAAAATGTAAGTTATTCGTACAAAGTTCATGATTATCTTTACACATATATTTGAAGTAGATCCTAATCCATTAATTTTGCTACGTACCCTAACTTTAGTTTGTGCAGTTTTGCTGTTGTCTGTTTTTCTGTTTACCAGGATATTGTGAAATATTTTTTCTAACTTTTTTTAAACATCAGAAAAAAAAAAAAAAAAAAGCTTAGGAAATCTGAGAAAATAATCTCGTGTAAACGATTTTATAGATGTCCATGTATGTCGTTTTTTTTTTTTTTTTTTTTTTTTAAGGGATGGTGAAAAAAAGATAATAATAATACCCATTTTAAAAATGCACCTTATAACTTCTGAAAAAAGAGCCAAAGAATAATAGAACAAGAAAAAAAGTTTCTGAAATTCGAGACTATTATGTTCATTTTACTGTTATTAGGTTCATGTCTTGTGGATAGCAGTATTAAAATTTCAAAACAGTTTTTTGTTAATCAGAAGTAAATGATAAATAATATAAAGCTATTTCTTTACATTATTTATCATTTACTTGCAGAATCGCCCACTTAATGGTTCGTATCGATGTGTAGATGGACAAAATCGGGGTTAAAGTGCAGTATTTCCTTACTGTAATTTCTCGTGCAGTTACACTTAAGAAGGATTAGTCGCTGATCTTTCTACTTCACAAAATTTACCTGCATTGAATTTTGGTGGTCAAATTTGAATTTACTTTTCTCTCTTGAAGTTATGTCAAGCAATATATTTGTAACTAGAAGTTAAGTTTGACTTTAGGATAATTTGTCTTCATAGGAAAGTGCGTTTCTGAAATTTGTTGACAGTATTTAGTTGACCAATCATTGCAGAGATGAGGTGGCATTTTTTCCGAAGAAAGAAATTTTTTTAAAAATTATTATCAGAGAGTATATGAAAATTACCATAATGCAATTATATGTTCTTAAGGAATATCTGGATAAAATATAAGTAGTTAAAAAAAAAAGGGTGATTCATCTGGATTAATGTTAAAAAAAAAAGTGAAATCGATCTGGCGGTTTTTAATTTTAATATTTCTTCTTGGCAGAAGAATTCACTTCCATTAGAGAATGTGCCATGCAGCAAAATGTGTGCAAAAATATGACAATGAAATTGTCCTTGTAATTCATAAGCTAATAAAATTGTTTTTTTGTAATGCAAATGAAAGAATCTTGAGAAAAAATAGGTGATTGATATAGAATTTTAGAGATAAGCTGAAGTCTGTTCATCCATTGTTAAGCATTAGTATGGTTATGCCATAATAATGGTTAACTCTCCTACAGCAACCCTCTATTTTTTTCCCCGCCGCCATTTTGTCTTCACGAAGTAAAGACATGTTTCTTTTCTTTTTATCTACTGAACACTTCTTACAACAATCTACTAGCCGAATTACACTTATGCTAGAAATTTTATCTAACAAAACTGCTTAATCATGACAAGTATTCACTGCAAAATTGGGAAAAAGTGCACAATACTATACTCCTTACGTGTTTTTCAAAATAACACATACACATAAACCATGTACACGTCGACTTATTTTTACTTAAAAAAACATCCCAGAATTACACAAAAATGGCATTGCGCACACTCTTCACTATATTCATGTACACTGCTTTTTTCTCATAAATTAGAAAAATTTCACGAAAATACATGACAATTTTCTGAACCTTTAAACCAGGTAAAAAGAACATATATGAAATCACCTGATCGCGAAAAAGTATATACCCTTTCCAAATATGAACATTTCCACATATAAAATATCCAAAAACTTTTACCTCTAAATCATCTATTATATTATAAACGTCACCAATGAATTCATACCGCAAGCATTACAAATACTTACGTGTCAAATATTTAAATTATTTCCATGCACGTTTACTTCAACTAAAACGTATACCAAATTCCTACAAACATAAAATTCACAAAATAACTATCATTTCATTAAAATATCGCTAAACCATGTACACGTCGACTTATTTTTACTTAAAAAAAAAATCCCAGAATTGCATAAAAATGGCATTGCGCACACTCTTCACCATATCCATGTACACTGCTTTTTTCTCATAAATTAGAAAATTTCACAAAAATGCATGACAATTTTCTGAATCTTTAAACCCATTAAAAAGAACATATATGAAACTACCTAATAACGAAAAAGTATATACCCTTTCCAAATATGAACATTTCCACGTATAAAATAAATAAAATATCCAAAAACTTTTACCTCTAAATTATCTATTATATTATAAACGTCACCAACGAATTCATACCTCAAACATTACAAATGGTTACAAATACTTAGTGTCAAATATTTAAATTATTTCCATGCACCTTTACTTCCACTGAAACGCATACCAAATTCCTACAAACATATAATTCACAAAATGACTATCATTTAATTAAAATATAATTAAATTCACAAACACTACTTAAATATAAATAAGCACATACATGAAATTAATAAAAATTAGCTCACAATCCTAATTACTTTAAACTAAATCATTGCTAATAACAATTTTCCAATAATACCATAAAAATAATATCCTCAAATAATTAAAAATACTAACTTACCTAATCTTCTTCAGGATCTTGATTACGTGGCCGATAAACTTTTCTTATTTCTTCCGCTAAATAAAAAGCAAGTGTATGTGCACCTGTTTCAGGATCTTTAAAATCATACTTATAGTTGTTCACAGCAAGGTACCAGGTAAAATAAATAACTTAATAAAACATCTTTACTTCTATATCGCACAACCTTAAAAAAACACCTATTACTACCCCTTTCAATCCCACTAAATACCCATTTCGAGTTCACTTTAGTTAGGGCCATGGGATCCAAAAATTAACCAACACTGTTTCACACAACACAGAATAAAGCTAAATACAAAATTTCCAGATTTCCCCCCTTTTCCGATTAAAGAACCGTAATTCGTCCATTAATATCACATGACATATCCCATGATCTCTCATTTCCCTCACACAAAATAATGCGTAATCGGAACTGAGTACCGCTCACATTATTACCAAAGTCCCAGGTAGTAACCTTTATCGCCTCCAAAATGTTGCCAAACTACCAGTTACCATATTCTAAAGATCAGCCAAGTGCTTAATCATGACGGAGATTAGGTGCGAAATTGGGAAAAAATGCAAAATCGCAAACTGCTTGCCGCGTTTTTAAGAATTGCACGTACACGGTAACCATGTACACGTCAACCTATTTTCACTTAAAAAATGTCGCAGAATTGCACAAAAATGGCATTGCGCACACTTTTCACTTTATCCATGTACACTGCTAAAGTCGGTACAACTCTAATATACGCCCTAATTTCACCAAATGTGGCTATATGTGTTCTGCGCTGGTTTTTGGCGCGATTGCGTGTTCTATGGCAACCCTGTTGACGTTGAAAAATCTTTCGCTGGAGCTCGTTGGTTCGCCTCTGTGTCTGAGAAGATGGGAGGGAAAGATAAATTGGTAGTTGTTGAATTGAAGTTCGGCAAAAGGAAATATGATTGTGGCTATCCTTTTGAGAGGTAGTGGGTATTTGGAAGTGTGGAAAGAGGGTCTGGGAGATTATTTTTAATGGCAGTGCATGATAGAAGTAGGGATTTGTAATTTTATTTATTTGTGAACCATAGTATAAATTTTCTGGATAGTTGTGTCCTGGCTGTCATGTAAATACGATAGTGATTACGTGGCGGCATGTTAAAAGGCGGTATGAAATTTATATTTTCTGCTATTCGAAAACGCATTAATTCATGGTAAGTGCATTTTATTTTATCCTTGTTCTTATTTTGTAGAATGCTATGTTCATTGGTTCTTTAGTATGAATTTCTGTCCTTATTGTTGTTTTTTTTAAATTGTTTGAAATTTATTTTATTTTATTTTGTTGTTTAGTGTCTAGACTGTACAATTCGTAGATGTTTTTTAAAGTTGAAACAGAACGGTGTGTACATGGTATTATTTGAAATTTATTGTTGTTATGTTATTTTATTAAAGCGAGGAGTGCGTAGATCGTAGATTCCTTCCTTGCCTAAATTGTGCAATTTGTAGAATTTTTTATAAGTTTAAACAGGATGCTGTGTACATGGTATTCTTTGAAATTTGTTGTTGTTATGTTATTTTATTAAAGCGAGGAGTGCGTAGATCGTAGATTCCTTCCTTGCCTAAATTGTGCAATTTGTAGAATTTTTTATAAGTTTAAACAGGATGCTGTGTACATGGTATTCTTTGAAATTTGTTGTTGTTATGTTAATTTATTAAAGCGAGGTGTGCGTAGTTTGTAGATTCGTTCGTTGCCTACATTGTGCAATTTGTAGATTCTTTTAAAGTTAAAACATGTCGCTGTGTACATGGATTCTTGTCAAATATTTTTGGTTAGAAACTTTACGTTTTTGCTATCTATAAATTTTTTGTTTTTGTTTCAGATTTTTAGCTAAATTGTGTGTTCAAAACGTAGTTTTTGCATGTGCGAAAAACGCGTTTTTGGAGACATTTTAGGCTAAAAGTTCAAAATGTAGACAAAAAATTTAGATAGTAATATGGCATCGTGAAGTTTCTCGCCAAAAATATTTGGCGACTTGAGGGCGCATATCAGAGTAGTTCCCTAAAGTCCTAGCTAGTAACATTTATTGCCTTACCAAAATGTCGCCAAACTAACTGTTACAGTCAAAAGTCGTTAATCCGGACTCGTCGGGACTTCAGCGATTCCGGATTATCGATTTTTACGAATTATAGATCATCAGTTTAAATCTGGTAAGATGGCATGCAGAAATTATAAAATTAAAAATATGAAACCGTAATTTATGAAATAAAGAACAATTATGATCTAAAGGGTATCAAAATTTACAAAAAAAAAAGCTTAATATTTATTTGTTTACTTTATTAAACATTTCTTTCAATGTAAGTTGTTTAAGTTGCTTCATTTTTTATGTGATAATACATTCTCTTTAATTCTATAAACAGACATAATTTCTTGTTCAGTTACAAAGTTCCGCTGTTCAAGTCCTATAATTGCTGTGTCGAGAATACCGACTAATTTGTCAATCGAAATTTTTTCGTTTTCAATAACCTCTGTGTCACTTTCTTCACTATCAGAAGCGAATTATAATGACGAGGAACTTGATTTAAATCATATCAAAGACGGAGTACATCGAGATGAAGTACTACATTTAGTAAGGAATTATAAGCCAAATGAAATAAAAACATCTGCCCTGAAGATAAGGATAGTGCTGACAGATCAACTTCCAATTCATTGCGTACCGCGCCGTTAAAGATAAACAAACGTTAAAGTTTAGATAAACAAAGGATATGCCTTTATCCATTTTTTGCAGCAATTCCACTTTTTGTTTAATGGATTTCAAAACATACTTTCGCTTTGTAGATCCTTTACATATTAGTAAATATATATCAGAAATTCTATTTGACATAATCGAAAGTTCAAGCTTACTTTTATAAAATTGCTCTAACAGTCTGCAAAACATAATAAGTGGAATCCAATTCGAAGATTAAGGAACAACACAATCTGCAACATTAACTGAATTTGATAATTTTAACTTAGCTTATACCGTCCGTTATACATTAAACGCGCATTCGTAAACGTATTTTGCGCACGCGTATTCGCAGCCGTAAGGGTCTTACGCGCATGCATCAAAGCGTCGGAATGTTTGTAGCTTTGAGGTCCGGATTATAGATCATTCCGGATTATGGTTGTCCGAATTAATGACTTTTGACTGTACCATATTCCAAAGATTAGCCATGCAGGGTTACAGTTTCAATGGAATTTACAAAGAAATCCAAGTTTTTTTTTTTTTTTTTTTTTTTTTTTTTTTTTTTCAATTTTTTCTGGAGGCAAAATTCTATGGCTATTCTATGGCTATCCATATGGCTATTGGAATTGAGCATAAATTTTTCTTATTAGCCTATAAGACGAATTGGAAAAGGTAAGATAGATAAGTGTCATTTCAGAGTCAACGTAAGTACAACTTCGGAATTCCTATACCTGGTACTCACTTAGTAAAAACAGAGTTTTCATCAATCAGATTTTTGGAATTCTTCTGTTTTATAGGCAGTTCAGCATTCAGAATAAGTTGTCTTTTTTTTTTTTTTTTTTTTTTTTTTTTTTTTTTTTTCCCCCTCTATTTTCTGTGATTGCACTGAATAAAGGTGTGGTTTTTCAGTTGGGCACTGCAACAAGAAAGTTCTCTTTTGTTATCTGGCTGATACCATGAAAAGTACATCTAGGTGACAGAACGTGGCTAGCATTATATTTCTTTTTAAGAACAGGCTTTCATCAATCTCTATGATTAAGTCTTCACTACCTATTTTTTTATTTTCATTAATCTGCATCTCATAGATCCATATTTTTCTCATATAATTGTTTAAGGCTATATCAGCTATGTTGAATACTTCCTTGCAGAATTTTATTGATGTCATTTTCTCAGACAGCAATAGATGAATATGATAACAGTTAACAAATGCCAATCTACTTGCTGCAAACCAGTTGTCGACTTTCATTTCCACCAATTCCTGTCTTTTGAATATCACCATGCACTCTTCGATTGACTTATATAAAACTTTATCTTGTGTTAATATGGTGGTATATTGTATATACATGGCAGAAACCTGTCATTATATTGTACCATATGGAAAGAAGAAAGTAAGCATCACTGTAAGAAATTAATAGCATCATGTTTACTGTTTGTTAGATCCCAGAGACCCATGATCGAACTATCTGGTTGTAATGAAAGTTTTCCATTAGAAAACATTCTTAATAAAGTTAGGGAAAAAAAACATGAAAACAGTACCTTTAGTGCAGGTAGTAAATAACCACCAAAATTGATGATTTTCTGAAAATGTTTTGGTAGTTTTTCAAAGCCTTTGGCCCAGAAACTTAGTGGAAGCAAGTCCAAAAACAGATCAACCTCATTTTAGACATCCTGTGCAGAATGGAAGATCATACCAGCAAGATATAGCTACAGGTGGGAAAAAAGGTAGAAATCCGAAGGAACGATCTTGGGGCTATATGGTGGGTGTTGCTTTTGCGTTGATATTTGAGCAGATTAGTACAGGCCCGAACATGTGTGTCTTTATCAACTTGAGTCAGCTCTTGCGGCACACAGGGATTAAACTTGTATGTCAAGTTTATGTGATGCATAGCACGACTAATAGACATGGAACAAACGTCTTAACTCTTTAGCAAGTTCTCAAGTGGTTGCATACTGATCTTCTTCCACAAGTTCTCACAGGTGGGCTCGCCACCATCAGTAGAATGGCTAGAGTGCTCGGCTTCTTGAATATTATAGTCCTTGTTTTTGAATTTTCAGTACGAAACCTTCAGCTTCGTATAATACAACATTAGTACCTAAAGCTATACACATGATTTGGTGACATTCTGTGCTGACTTTTTGCAGCAGAACTGGAAGTATCTGGTAGCATGATAGTTTCATTTCATACACATTGTACTTATACCAATATATATTTATTTCAGTACACAATGTTCGAAGCAAGTGTGTTTCTTTCAAACGGCAAAAATCATTTGACAAAATAGGATTAAACATGCCAATGTGAACTGTTAGCGCAGACGATATTTGCTGTGGTGGAAAACTTTCGTTAAAACCCAATATGAAACTCCGTTCTTAAAACTATAGCTTATGGACATTCTTAAAACTTAGTGACATCGTATGATTTTAACAGCAATTAATTTGTGTTGTGATTCCAAAGTTGGTAACTAATTGTTCTTTTTTGGTGAATTTTAGTTTTTTCTCCATTAGCACACCTGTATCTTGATATTATGAATAAGCAAGAAGAATGATCATTGTTCTGTTATTTTTTCTTTGTAATATTTTCAGTTTTTTTTTTTTTTTTTTTTTTTTTGAAAAGGATCAATATAGATTTTGCAGTTTTGTAATTGCGAAATGACAAAGAGTTACAATTAGCTACTTGCAAAACATCTGGGATAATATTGTGCTTAATAAATTTTGTTAGAAAATATTTTAACTTAGTCTGTGCGGTGTAGCTAGCTAGCTGTTAAAATTAATTGTGTGTAACTTAGCCGAGTGGAGGGGGAAAAGAAGGACTCTTTTGTATGTATGCCGCAGTTTGCTTTTGTATTAGGACACCTATCTCTTTGCATCATTCATCTCTTTATCTTTGCAGGAGGATCATCCATTAATCTATGATCTATTTTAAATTATCAAAAATATCTAATAGCTAACTAAAAGCCAGGTCAGTGTAAACACTCACCTGGCCTTTGATCTTTGCATAATAATTTTGTGCACAAACACATGTTACAAGGGTGAATTTTAATTTTATAGTTTTTCTCCATTTCATAACATAGTTCTTGAGACAGGTATTTTAATTATGCAAACAAACATCTTGGGATAAATATTCTAGTGAAAACTTTTTGTTTTGAAAGATTCTTCAAAAACTTGCTTTCTAAGCCAAATTGACCTTGTATTCTTTTCCTTGAGTATTTTACTGTTTTCTTACTTTTGGTTCAAACATGTTTCTACCTTCGAGTTTTTTAGTCAAAGTGTAATATTTTTTATTTTATTCTTTCAGGAAAATTTTGTTAGCAGTTGGGTAATTTTATGTAGCAACTTTATAGGGTTCCTCACTTTGTAAATGCTAAGTTACAGTTGAACATGAAGTATCTTAAGAACTGCTAAGCGAATAATCGCTTAAGTTCGTGTGACAAGAAACAACAAGATGGAAGAATAACTAACCCTTTATTATTCAAATAAGATTTAACAGAACTCTGTCTTGGAGTGTACAATAAAAGCCGACACTTGGGCTTGAACTTAAGAGGCTAAGAAATAAACTAAAACTAATCTAAACTAAAGAGATAAAGCCGAAGCTATCAAGATTCTAACCGAGTCATCCCCTTAACGCTAATTGACTGCGAAGCTATCAAGGGCCTGAGTACGGCCAAGCGTAATAACAGCTTTGGGAGAGAGTAGCCAAGAAAGCAGGTGCACACAAATCAGAAACTATTCTCTCTAACTCAGCAAGTAGAACTTCGCGGTTAAATACCGCTCTTCCTCATTATGTATTCAGAGTGATTCTAAAACTACGTTCCGGCCGTAAGTAGTAAGTTGAAGTTAAGAATTTGACAGGAAAGGAACTTTAACTGTTAATAAAATTAACATAATCCTTACAACTTAATGAATAAAACTTTATAAATTGTTTTTATTACTAATATCTTTTCTGTATATTTTTCAACAGGTGTGTTTTTGTTTTTTTTTTTTTTTTTTTTTTTTTTCCCAATGCACATTGAAAAAAAAATAATTATTCATTTCAGATATTAAGAATCCTTCAAAATATGCACATGTACTATTGAGAAGTCCAGCAGCTGTTTGTTCAACATTTTCTAATGAAAATTTTTATCGAAAACAGTCAAGTTATATCCCTAATAGTGCGCAGAGTATAATTCTAGATGATGTCCAGTCTGAGGAAGAGGAAAAAATTTCAAAAGGTAAAATGTATTCAAATTTCTTTCTTTCTTTTTTTTTTTTTTTTTTTTTTTTTTTTTTTTTTTGTTTTTTTTTTTTTTTTTTTTTTTTTTTTTTTTTTTTTTTTTTTTTTTTTTTTGTTTTTTTTTTATTTTTTTTTTTTTTTTTTTTTTTTTTTTTTTTTTTTTTTTTTTTTTTTTTTTGTTTTTTTTTTTTTTTTTTAGAGGTTTTACATCATATTAATATTATTGAACAGAATTTATGAAGGTGCAGAAAGTGAAGATTAAACTATGTTTCTTCTTTATTTCAAAGATTATCATTAGAAATGTGTTGTATCAATCTTCTATTAAAGGATGTATTAATGAATTTTACAGTTGGCAAAAAGTCTATAGAAGTCATGATTTGTTTTAATGTTTTGGCATTTTATGTTTTTAATATCAGACAAATATGTTGGTATGTTTTCCTTTGACTCTCTTTTATATTTTATACTGTTTATATTCTAATACAACAACTGAACGAAATGTTTAATAAAGTAAACAAATAAATATTAAGCTTTTTTTTTGTAAAATTTGATACCCTTTAGATCATAATTGCTCTTTATTTCATAAATTACAGTTTCCGTAATCCGGAATCGCCGAAGTCATGACGAGTCCGGATTATAGACTTTCTACTGTATTTCACTTTATTGGTTTAGATTTTAATAGCAGAATCAGCCTTATAAGATGAAAATTGCAAGTCATAATAAAATTCCCCGAATCATGCCATCTTCAGTAGTTGGGATCACAAGAGTTCCCTCTGATACCCCATTGCAAATGAGTGAGAAAACTCACTTAATTTATTTCTTATAAGGTATATGATTGTAGAACACATCGTGCTTTTTCCTGTAGTGAATTGAGCAAACTTGATGAAATAAATTAGAGCCATATTTTAAGAAGCTGGCTAGGTTATTGCTATATTAAAAAAAAAATATCCAGCCCATGTGCAATATTGCCTATTAGTGCTTTTCTGTATGATTTATATGATGAATATGATTCTGAATTTAAAATTATATGCAGAGGGGGTTCACACATTTTTGGAGCGATTTCAGGGCTGTTTAATAAATGTTTAAAATCTAAAGAGTTTTTTTTTTAAAGGCTCACTCTGATAGTCTTTTCTCTGGACTCCTGATTTCCATGATAGATTAGTTCCATTCAATTATTTCCACGATAAAAGGACTTTTTGTAAAATCTCCAGGAGGGTTGATTTCCATTTCTGTGGTATTACTTCCCAGAGTTAAAAAAAGCTCTTTTCAAGATACCAAAGCCACATAGTCTATAAATGAAACATCTTGGGATTTCACAGGAATATATTTTTAAAATATATACAGTCAAAAGTCGTTAATTCGGACACCCATAATCTGGAATGATCTATAATCCAGACCTCAAAGGTACAAACTTTCTGCGCATGCGTCGCGTTGACGCTGCGCATAGGCGTTTAAGCGCACGCGTAAGACCTTTACGGCTGCGAATATGCGTGTGCGCATGCGCATAATACGTTTACAATTGCATGTTTAGTGTATAACGGACAGTATAAGCTAAGCTAAAATGATCTAATTCAGTTAATGTTGCAGATTGCGTTGTTCCTTAATCTTCGAATTGGATCCGGCTTATTATTTTTTTGCAGACTCTTAGAGCAATTTTATAAAAGTAAGCTTGAACGCGATTATGTCAAATAGAATTTCCAATATATATTTGCTACTATGTAAAGGATCTACAAAGCGAAAGTATGTTTCGAAGTCCATTAAACAGAAAGTGGAATTGCTGCAAAAAATGGATAAAGGCATATCCTTTGATTATCTAATCATTCCGAAATATGTTTATCAATTTCACGCTGCTCTGCAGGGGGAGGGAAACGACGCGGCATGCAATGAATTGGAAGTTGATCTGTCTGTCAGCACTATCCTTATCTTCAGGGCAGATGTTTTTATTTTATTTGCCTTATAATTCCTTACTAAGTGTAGTATTTCATCTCGATGCACTCCGTCTTTGATATGATTTAAATTAAGTTCCTTGTCATTATAATTCGCTTCCGATAGTGAAGAAAGTGACACAGAGGTTATTGAAAACGAAAAAATTTCGATTGACAAATTAGTCGGTATTCTCAACACAGCAATTATAGGACTTGAACAGCAGAACTTTGTAACTAAACAAGAAATTATGTCTGTTTAATAGAATTAAAGAGAAAGTATTATCACATGAATCGAAGCAACTTAAACAACTTACATTGAAAGAAATGTTTAATAAAATAAACAAATAAATATTAAGCTTTTTCTTTTTGTAAATTTTGATACCCTTTAGATCATAATTGTTCTTTATTTCATAAATTACGGTTTCGTATTTTTAATTTTATAATTTCTGCATGCCATCTTACCAGATTTAAACTGATGATCTATAATCTGGAAAAATCGATAATCCAGAATTGCCGAAGTCCCGACGAGTCCGGATTAACGACTTTTGACTGTATATGCAATATATGTATCAGTGTTAATTTTTTCAAAGGAATGCAGTAGTTCTTTTCAAAGTATGACTTTGCTTTGCAAGGCATGACTTTCAAAGTTGCTTTTTCTTATTTAAGTTTCAGTCTTTGAAAGTCATTGGGATAAAGAAGTGGAATTTCTTCTAGATGGTTAGAGAGAAGGGTATCCTTTGTATTATCGGGAAGTTGTTTTTTCATTTATCGTTAAATTGTTATTTCGTTTATGGTAGCCTGAGTAGTTGAATGTTATGGAAATCTTGTTATGATGTAATCAGTTGCATGATTGTGGTAAATTTGTAAGGGCTTGTGTGTTGTGTTGGTTAGGAAGTATAGTGTTTGTTTTGTGGTTTAGATGGTAAAATGCCTGAATGTGGTAAGATTAATTTGAAGTTTCTGTATGGTTTGGAAAGAAAGGAGAAAAGAGCATTGCTTGACTGGTGTGTAAATAAATGTTTATTTAGTAGTCATTATTAAGTGTCTTGTTTGTAGGAAGGAAATGCATATGATCAATAATAACGGTGCTACGGAGGATATTTTTTACTCTTATTTTGTGAATTTATGTAGCGATGCCAGTATACAGATTCTAGTTCAGATAATTTTCGGAAGTTTTTGGATGCTGTACGGAATCTTGTTTGACTGAAGACATGTTAATTTGTAAATAAGTTAAGTGGATATTTCCTCTGTGTAGTGCAAAGATGAATGTCCTTTTTCATGTTATTTCTTTGTTTGATTTAAAATTTAGTTTATTGAGATTATATATTTTTTTGTTGGCTGCTCCTTTGATTTTTTAAGTGAAAATAGATTGATGTGTACATGGATAAAGTCAAGAGAGTGCACAATGCCAAGTTTGTACAATTCTCTGATGTTTTTTTTACATGGATACTGAGTTTGTGCAATTCTTTGTCGTGTTGTTTTGTGCCGCTACACAAGCCAAAATAACAAGACCTTGCACAAACTCGGTATCTATGTACCGCCAAAAATTGCCAATTTTTTTGCCAAGGGGTACCTGTAAATATATTTTTACCCTTCTATACACATATTGGATGTAAATATTTCTCTTGGTGAAACATTAAGTTGATTTTAACATTTTCTTCTTATTTTTAATTTACCGTTGTTAGAGAATCAAGCGATGATTATAAAACCTTTACTGAAACTATCTTTGCATTGACGAAACCATGTTTGTACATTTTTTTCTTTATTTTTAATAATAAATAGACTTTTTTTGTTGTAGTCTTTTTGGTAAGCCCATGCTTCAGCAAAAGTCATTGTGTGTTTTCATTTATCTCATACCCTGTATGTTTTTCATACAGGGTTTTACAAATTATTTTCCATTGAGCTATATGACTTGGTGAAACTCGGTGAACATAATGCTTAAGTAACAAATCTTGGTTTGTTGCTACAGATGTATTTAAAGACTTTGCAACTGATTTCTGCATTGGTGGGTTCTTACTTGCTATCAATTAGTTTTTAAAACAAATTTTGTATCTTTTTTGGGTATTCGTTTGGAGTCATCTTTCCATGTAAAATTAATGACTGATGATTTGTCTCCTTCCAATCAATAATGTTGCTTATTTTGCCTTTCAAAATTTTAATACCTTACATTTCACATTTTTGAAAAATGGAATAGGAATATTTCTCTTCAGAAAGGGCAAAATTTATCCTTCAGTCCACAACTCATTTACATGAGACATTTTGAAAGAAGAATAAATTTAAAAGTAGCAGATAATATTTCTTATTTTAAATAATAAGCTGTTGCCCAAGATTTTTATTAAAAGATGTTTGCTTTTTTAAAATTCTATATTGAAATTGTTCTAAAATGTGTAAACACCCTCTGTATATGCACACATATATTTAATGATCAACCTTGCAGTTAGGTATTCATTGAGAAATAAGGTTCAACTTATATATCTTTTACCTGTGTCATATCGAGAATGCTGTTCAAGGTATCCCACAGAATATTCACCGAGGAGACAGCTAACAACATATAAGTAATCACACATTACATGAGAACTAAATCAGCAAATTCAATTTCAGTCTGGCAGTTGCTTACTGTATCCACCATACCATATAAGGAAAAATTTAAAATTATGAACACAGTAATTCATCACATGCTAGTAAGATGACTACATTGTGCTCGTCAGTGAGCTTAAATAAATTCAAAAACTTTAATTTCATGTAAATTATAAATAGTAAATTTTAGATTTGATGATTATATGCAAACTTGAACTTCAATAATTGACAAGATTCCATTTTTATTTTGCATTAGTGGCTAGAAAATCTTTCTTAACACGAGTAAAGTGACCACATTTTCACTGAGAAAAAGCGGGACAAGGCGAGAAATATAATTTAGTTATGAAAGCAGACCAATAATTCAAAAAAGTATATTTTATTGTATACATTCATATATTTGTCTATAAATATACAAAAATGTATTTATTATTAATTATTTGTAACTATAAAAATATTTGTAAAAAACAATAATTTGAACATTATGAATTTTAATTAATTA